GGCCACAGTCCATGCACCGTAAGCAGGCTGCGCGGCCCCGCACTCGCGGTTTTGCCGGCGGTTCACGCAGGGCTGTAGCTCGTCTTCGTGCACACAGTAATAGATGAGCTCGGCAGGTGGCAAGGGTCCAGGGCTCTGCGGTGCAGCTCTGTGGGCTGCGAAGATGGAGGTGGAGGCAGCAGCCGGGCTCCGGGGCGCCGCCTCACAGACATCTTTGTTCGCGTCACAGCTTCCCCTGTGGCCGCCATGTTTACCCCGTAGGCGACGTCGCTGGACTATTTACGCTGGCGCCTGACGCCAGAGCCGGGATGGCGAAGGCAGATGCGGCAACAGCCGCAGTCCTCTGGGGTCTGACAGCCCCAGCATACTCTACACCCCCGGCTATTAAACATTCCGTGTTCCCGGTTGAAGGCAATTCTCTGTGCTCGGCAGTCTTTGCACGACATTTTGAGCCGCTGCCTTTGGGTGCCATCTCCTGAGAAGCTGATTCCACAGTTCTCTCAGCGCCCAGGAGCAGGGAATGAAGCTGGGCCTGTATCAGTGTCAGCCTTGGTCTCATCCCTGGGGGCCTCCTTCCTGACCTCACCACTCTGGGGTCCAACCTGACACTTCTGAGTCTTGGCTGGCGGTGAAGACTTCTTTCCCTTCTTGCTGGCGACAGCCACAAATGGGCCTTGGCGGCTGGATAGCACAAGATGCCTTGTTTGCCGTCGAAGAAGGTGAGCTATCTGTGATATGCAGAGCCCAGGTATCGAGTCAGCTCAACCTTGCTTCGGATCCTGTATCCTCTGGTGATAGGTGTCTGAGCGTCCGCAGGTAGCCTCTGACTTGCGAAGCACTTCACGGCGCTTCCAGGCAGGGCCGAGGGCTGGGCAGTCCACCCAGTCCTCAGCCATGGAGACTACAGGCAGCAGCAGTAACCAGTGTGGCGCCAGGCCTGCATCTTCCGCCGCTATAGGCGGGTGCACCCGAGGCGAGGTCCCTCATATGCCTTCCGCCTCACCCTCTTCTTCCGTCTCCGCAGCCACCTCTTCTGAAGCGCACAAATATCTTTATAATATACTCACGCAGGGCTGTAGCTCGTCCTCGTCTACACAGTAATAGATGAACTCGGCAGGTGGCGAGGGGCCAGGGCTCTGAAATGTGGCTCTGGCATATATATTTTATATGATAAAATATATATCATATGTAATTATATATATATATATTTATTTATTATATATTGATATATATCAATATATTATATCATATAAATAAGATTTTTAAAGTATCAATTGAATGGTGGTCTTTTACTATTTAATTCGCCAGTGCATAGCGAAGCAAGACAAAGAAAGATTGAAAAACAGATCATGGTCAGGCATGGTGGCTCATTCCTGTAATCCCAGCACTTTGGGAGGCCAGGGCAGGCAGATCGCCTGAGGTCAGAAGGTTGAGACCAGCCTGGCCAACACGGCGAAACCCTGTCTGTACTAAAAATACAAAAATTAGCTGGGGAGTCGTGACAGGCACCTGTAATCCCAGCTACTTGAAAGGCTGAGACAGGAGAATCCCTTGAACCCGGGAAGCAGAGGTTTCGGTAAGCAGAGATCATGCCATTCCACCCCGGCCGGGGTGATGAAAAACTCCGTAAAAAAAAAAAAAAAAAAAAAAAAAAAAACAGATTATTAGAGGTTAAATTTGTTTGTAATAGAAACAAAACAAACAAGAGCCAAAAAAAGGACCTCAATTCTTTCTTTGTTTTCTGATGTTTTTTGTTTGTTTGTTTGTTTGTTTTTGTCTTCCTCTACTTAGAACACTGGGTTATTTTCATATGAACATAATTCACTGAAAATTAACATTGATTTTATCGTCAACTGCTGTCACATCTATTTAGTTGGAAAAGGGAAGAACCACCTCTATCAGGACATATTTGCTTGGGATTAACATCTATCATAGAATCTGCAGTGGAAATGAGGAGGTATTAGGGAGGCACATGTGGTGTTGAGTCTAGATGCCTGGTTTCCACTAGTAGTCGATTATTTAAATTCTTCTTAAAAGATTGAACTGTTAACACAGTAAACTTTTCCTGTGAAAATTAATACCACCATATAGAAGTGTTTTTTTATAAATTAATAATCATTTTTATCCAAAATTATAGTGTATTATGATATTAGAAAAGGAGGAGATTGAAGTACACCATGTTTAGAATTGATAGGTAATGCTTTAATTTACAGTGTATTTGCAGTCTGTACAAATTACCGTTTCAGTCTTCAGGCCATGCAAGAAAGCAAGATCTCTCCACATGCTTTAAACCGAGTAATGACAAGAACCACCATCAGGAAATGGGCAGCCAGTATACATAAGATCCACTAGTGCAGTAAACCTAAGGCTTGCTGACCTCTGAGCTACCAGCGCTATGCTGGCTTACCTAAAATGAAAGCCTGCATGATCCATGTGGGAATAATACCAAGCCATGCCCCAGGCGAAGCAGCACCTCCTCAGGGGTCTGCTCCAGCTCCTCTTCCAGTGCTAGATTCCTTTTATTGCCTCCTACGAATGAATCTTAGCTTCTTCCTGCTTTCATCTCAGTCTTATTCTTTTGCCAGCTACAGTTCTCAGGCACCCATGTAACCAAATCCCTGCTTTAAATGATCTCTGCTTATGTAACTAGTTTGGATTCTGCTTTTATTTTTTTCTGCAAACACAAAAAGAGAAAGATGATTAGTTCATATTTTAAATTTGCTCAGAATTTTATAAAATTATTTTGATTTTATCACAGTTACAAATTGTAGATATTATCGTTAAGTATTTCTATTATTTACCAGGAGAAACCGGCTTTGCAAAATCTACTCTGTTCCTAAGACTTCTAAGTTCTGAATTTTAGCCATTTGTAATGCCTAGAAAATTGGAAGATGCTTAATATATACTCGTTGGATTAATCAATATTGCACTACTGCCAAGTAAGTAGTATCTAAAGGAAGTTTCAGAAATTACCTCTAGAGTATTGGGAATCTAGCACTAA